ACTATGGTATTTATTTGCAGGTGGCAAAAACATCTTAATTACAAGATATAACCAAAATCATCACAAGATGTAGTAACACATGATAACTGACTACCATAATAGGAGGATTGATAGATGCAGTTTCTCTGCCCAAAATAGATCAATTAACGAATGATTTGGTTGACGTTGCATCTGAATGTACACTTTGTGGTGACGATGATCTGATGATTAAATAGTTGAACAAACTTTTATTAATGACAAAGAAGGTATTTATTTCATCCCCCCTAAAACAAATAGAGTCATTACTACAGGGCCATTATTAGAGGCCCTGTCTGTCCTTTTTCCCTTCTATGGTTTAGATTAGTTTAAATACCAAATCTTGACAATTTTCTCTTATTATATGTTTTAAGTTGGATTTGCATATTTGCAATTTTTGTAATTTTTGTTATTAAAAAATATATATGATGGTAATAATGATATATGATTTATTATTTATTTTCTAAATTTGAATTTTTCTTAATATTACATCATACAATGAATCAATTAGTTTTTTGTTTGTTTGAAGAAGTGGTGGTGGTGATGGAAGATGTAACAACCTTATCTTTCATTTCTTCTTCTACCCGTTTCTTTTTATAAGCCCTATATTTTAGATCAGTTCCCATTAAATAATCCCACCATCTGAACGATGTTGAGAAGCAATTGACAAATGCCATATGATGATAATCATGATGTTCTGAACCTGCCCAGAAAGGAAGGAAATTTCGAAGTGACCATGGAAAATCTGTTTATGCATATAAATTAGTAAAATTTATTAATTTATTTTAAAAGAAACAAATATATGATTATGTTTACCATAGCCAGAATGTGCATCTATTGCTTGCAATAACCGTAAGGTGATCCAGATGAACATAGTGACTAGGTGAAGGTCATGAGTTATTGAGACCCATATAAGTGGTCCACCAATTGTACCAGTACCTAAAATCATTACCTCTATAGGATGCGCATATTCTGCTGTCTAAATCAATTAATCAATTAATCAGCAAGTAAATAAATAAATAATTTAACTCCTAAAAAAACCACATCTCTACTTACTAAGCCAAAAGGTGCAGAATATTCATGATGTTGTTTATGAATATATTTGTAAAATGAACCATAATGTAAAAGACGATGGAACCAATAGTGAAAAGTGTCCTCAAATACAAAAAAAATAGCAACTTGATATGCCATTTTTTGCCAATGAGGAAAAGGTACAACTGTTACATCCAATCCAAAAAATGTTGCAATTGGATGAAATGAAAAAATCAAAGGTAAATCAAAAAAAATATGTACTATCAAAACACTCTTCAAACATTGCCAATGTTCTGAAACTGTATTGATTTTATTCTATCTCAAAGATAACAATAATAATAAAATTAGAATTTGAAGAAACAGAGGTGAAAAAGATAAAATTTTTGGAAGGATATACATTTTATAGATGGTAATAATTTATAAACTTACAGGTTGTAATTTATATTTATGAAAAAATGGAATAAAATCTGCTATCCAATAAGGTGCACACCGACCAAAATATACAACCTCATGCATTATAAATGAAATTAAAGCTGTTGCGAATAATTCATCCTCAAAATAATCAAACCATCCCTTCCAACATTCCTCTGCAAAATTTAAATGATTTTGGTTTTCATTTACAATTGTTGAATTCATTTTTAATAATTGAATTATTGAATTATTGAATTATTGAATTATTTATATTTTTGTTTTTATTATATATTATTAAAATTATTTTAAATCTTATTTTATAATTAAATCAATGTCACAAAACTTTAAAAACTTTCGATCTTCAACATTTAATTTATTTCCCTATTACTATGGTTAGTGATTGGGTTACGCATATCTAAAAATCATCTGATTTTTTGATATATGTAACCTATAATTAAAAACTATGGGTTCCGAAATTTGGGACAAAGTGAACATTTGTATCACCAAAGATTCAGGGATCAAAATTTAGTAATGTGATTGTTAAAATCTCCTATTTGCTATCTTCTTAATTATTAAGTGATATAGAACTACTCCTATATAAAAATAGTTAATATGAAACTCATTTATATCATATCTACCATGGAACCCAAAAATTACAGCACATTAGAAGTATTTTGAAGAAGGAACAAGGTGAAAAAATTGCTCCTTACATTTTCAAAAATAAATGATACTCAAACACTTGAAGCTTAATCTAAGAAAAGAAAGGATTACCATGAAATTTACCAAAAAGAAAGAAAAATAATAAATGTTGGAAAAAGAAAACATCATGATGATGCATTATTAATATTATTCATTAATTAATATTGAATACAAACTTTTTTTCGCGAACCATTTATTTTTTATTTATTACTAAAACATTGACGATCATCCCTAAATTATACATTTTTGTCGTACTAAAAATCCGTTTTCATTGTATTTATTTATTCTCTCTAAGTTTAAATTTAAAATGGAATCAGGCACTTTAAAAGAATTTACAAGTCATAACAATATAATTGATTATGATACAAATCAACAATTCACACAAACATTGCAACTCTTAAAACAACAACAAAATTTCTTTCAAGAACTGCAACAACACTTAAAACAATGGAATCAACCCACAGAACAACTGCCATATCATTTTTTAGAACAACCCACTGAATACGAATCACTTCTCTCACAATATCAAAAACATCTCTCACAATATCAAAAAAAACCCACAAGCCACCATTACTCTGCTCTCTCAGAAACTCAACAACAACTCTTACGAATTCAGCAACTATTTATACTACAGCAATTATTACAAAAGTTCATACAAAAACAATCAGCAGATTCGCTTAATCTTGGAGAGTACTATATAATTGATAAAGATGCTTTCGGTAATTTAAAAAAACACTTGGAAAATAAAGAATTGAAAAGTAAAATTAATGGATTGATAAGCAATAATAATGAATTAAATAATAATAAAAATGAATTGGAATTGGAAAGTAAAATAAATGAATTGGAAAATAAAAATAATGAATTAAAAAATAAAATCAATGAATTAGAAAATAAAGAATTGGAAAGTAAACATAGTGAATTGGAAAGTAAAAATAATGAATTGGATAATAAAATTAACGAAATGGAAAGTGAAATCAATGAATTGAGAAATTTGGAAAAGAATGGCAAGAAGTGGAAACTTAAGCTTAAGAACTTATTAAAATTTCCAAATAAATCTAAGCCAAAACAAGCTAATTATAATCAAAAACTTCAAAAGCTTCAAACAGATTATCAAAATCTTCAAACAGATTGCCATAATCTTAAAACAGCTTGTCAAAATCTTCAAACAGATCACCAAAAACTTCAAGAGCTTCAAACAGGTTATCGAAATCTTCAAACAGATCACCAAAAACTTCAAGAGCTTCAAACAGATCATCTAAATCTTCAAACAGATCATCATAATCTTAAAACAACTCATCAAAATCTTCAAACAGATTACCATAATCTTAAAACAACTCATCAAAATCTTCAAACAGATTACCATAATCTTAAAACGACTCATCAAAATCTTCAAACAGATTACCATAACCTTAAAACAACTCATCAAAATTTTCAAACAGATTACCATAATCTTAAAACAACTCATCAAAATCTTCAAACAGATCATCAAAATTTTGATCAAAATTTTGAAAAAAATTATCAAGAATCAAAGGCATTATTAAATTTAAAAGATAAAGAAATTGATTATTTGAAAAAAGCCAATGAAAAATTAAAGAAAGAGGCTATCAAATATCAATCAGCTTTGGGTGATGCAACAAGTTTTCAACTAGGAAGTCAAGATTCCAATAGTGCTGGTCAATTATCAAAAGACATACGCAATTTACATAAAAATTTAGATAAATTTTGTGGGTTGAAAAAAGGTATTGAAATTAATGAGTCAGAAGTAAAAGAATTATTGAAAAAATTTGGTTGTTCAATCACCGATAAGATACGTAATAGTAAAAACGTGATTTCTGGCGCATTAGAGCGTCACGTGATCGAATACATCATTGAAAAAACCAAAAATTACCTCGAAAAGAATGACAATGATGACAAAAATGATGACGGGAAATACAACAAAAAGGATGCCGAAAAACACAAGGAAAATGATGATAAAAAATGCAACAAAAATAATAGCGAAAAGGATTACAAAACACAGCAACAAAGTTTGGAAAGTTTGGAAGTCGAAATAGTCGAGACAACAGAACAACTATTGAAATTGACACATTCAATTTCAATAAATCGCGCAGGAACTGAAGAAGTTAGCAAAGCTACTTCAACAAAATTACGTCAACAAATTTATGGTGTCCTTGGAAATCGTGGATTTTCCAATATTATTGTAGACAAAGAAAACAAAAAACATCCATTGATTGCAGTGTTACAAAAAGATATTTTAAATTTAATGAATCGTTATCGTACAATTAAAAATCCAGAAAAGTTGTCAGAAATTGAAAGCATAATTGATGAAATTGTTAGGCAAGTTGTTAGTATATTTTTTTTCAGATTAAAAGTACAAGAGCCTGTTGCCGATTGGAAATTTTTTGAAAATAAAACAAGCATCAATACTATTGTGATGGAAGCACCTTGGGATGAAAATGAGCTTGAAGATTTACATGTTGATATTTGTGCATTTCCAATAATTGGATCTAATCTTTGTGAAGCTGACAAAGTTGATGAAAATTTGAAAGTAATCTTTCCAGCACAAATTATCACAAATAATCCTACTAGAAGTCATTAGTAGCCTTTATTGTTATTGTGTGCGATTACTTTTTTATTGTAATATTAGATATATCCTAACAATTTTTTTTTAACTTGTCTTAATGAAAAATTTAACGGGGTTTCTTTTTTTAGGAAAGTAAAGAAATTTTTCGAGGCCAAAATTTTTTTTTCATTTATTATTATGATTAAAAACTGAAATAGATATTGATTGAAATCATATTTGCATAGCCTTATTATAATCAAAATGTTCGTGATCTAGTCTTCTATCCCTAGTAACATCAACATCATATTAATTTATTATATAAATATCTTGATGGGTTTTGTTGAGAAAACCTGTCATGCTTGGCAATGGATTAAATAAATTATATCTAATAATTGAGAATACATTTTAATAAAATATCTATTGATGTTGTTTTGTAATTAGCATCAATGATATGCCTATAACTGTATAATTCTTCACGAGGATATTAGGTTCATCATAATATTGATCGGAATTTCAGCAAATGCATTAGTTTTATTATGTATTTTGTTTTTTTTTCGCTATCATAAATTAACCATTTAAACCAATGTTGGCATTTGGCCATTTGACCGGCCAAAAAAAAACCAAGATAGCCAAAACGGCCAAGACTTTCTCAATTTTAATATAAAACTTTCACATGATTTTACATAAATTTGTTGGCCAAAATGGGAACGGTCAAACGGCCAAATGCCAACACTAATTTAAATCATTTGAATATTGACGGTATTTCATATATCGAATGCCTTCTTCCATTGAATTTTATTATTAAACCTATAAAAATATTAATTACCATTAATACTTGCATTAATTACATCAATTAAATTTTTAATGGCGTTAAGCGTTTATAACTTAATTACCCGAAGATTCTGAAATAAGAAAAATTTTTGCTATGTAACAAATAAAAAGTTGCTTCTTATATATAATAGGCCTGAATATTATTAATATATCAATAATAATAAAAGAATGGTCCTTATTAATTTAGTAATGATTGTTTTGTATTTTTTGTAATTTTTGATAAAAAATTATATTTCGTTATTATGGAATTGCATGATTTTATTGAGTTCGAACCTGCTAGCGAGGATATACGTTTAGTTATCGGAGTAGGTGAGCATATAAACTTAAAAGATATCTTACAGAAATTTTTTCTAATAAGACAGTCTTTTTTTTTACGATACTTTAAATCCAGATTTTGGCACAACATTTTCGGTAAACTTATTCTTAATTGCCACATGCTGTTTTATTCGCCATTAATTAACTGACACCTTGTCTCTTTCCTTTATTAGGGGTTTTCTTACGCTTACATTAAACCAGAGAAGGCGAAAATAGAAATTGTTGTGAATCAAGAGTGGG